GCCCGGCAAAGGCCCGGCGCTGCAGCGGCCGCCGGTCAAGCTGCAGCGCGCAGCGGCCGATTGTCAGCGGGGCAGTCAGAGGGGCCCGTCCATCCGCCTGCTGCTCCAGTAGATCTTGCATGCTACTGATGGCGGAGGGCGCGGCTCCTGGGCGGCCGTGGGCGGCGGCGAAGGCGGCCCCCTGCTGCTGGCGAGGGCGCCGCGGCGAGCTCGGGGGCGCGGGGCGGCCGCGCGCCGCGCTCGAGCGCCCGAGTGCCGTGGGGGGTGTCTCAGGCCAGGCCGGGGGGGGCACCTGCAGTTGCCCTCTTCTCTCACCTCTCTGTGCGTGGCCCTCGAGGCGCGCGCGCCTCTGTGGGGCGTCTTGCGGCCAAGTGCCCCGTGCAGGCGCCATTCCACAGAGGTTGTGTATATGCTGACTGGCTGTCTTGCTCGTTCATCCCTCTCGCAGGTTCTCGGCCGCTCTTGCATTGCTCTCTGGGCTATGTGCCCTTCGTTGCGTCTTTGCCCATTTCGAGTTGTGCAGCGCCGGTCGAGGGGCGGCGCAATGGCGTCAGATGATGGGGCGGCCACTGTCCCCCAGCAATCTTATCGAACGTGATGACGTATATGTTATTTTCATGGGAAGGCGTCAGAGTGCGACCCATGCATCACATCATCCCCATGACTCCTTTTTGATGCTGGCATCGCACGTGTGACGCATATTTTGACCATCGTGCATTGTTGAGGCCTGAAGCGGCTCACGTTATACGTCTTGCGCCATCTAGTTGATTCGTTGTTATCGCAATTTCGATTTTTATATCGCTGGAATTCGGGTCTGAACTGTTTCTCGATCTGTCCCCCATTCTCAAGGTTCCTATTTTCATTCTCTCACGTTGTCTTTCGTCGGGGCGGGGGGGTCGCTTTCCGCCCCCCCGCGGGTGCGCGTCGATGCCCTCCCCTTCTCGCCTTCTGTTGTCCTTTGCTATTTCCCTTTTTTTCTCCCGCCATCCATGTGTCCTGTCTTCTTGCTCATCGCCCTTCTGTGCGTGCATGTTGTCGCCATGAACGCATTCATTTTGGGGCGATTGCTGGGGGCTGCGTCGCGCCGAACGGTCTTCGCCTAACGTTTTGATGCGTCTGAGCGCGCGTGTGTTGCTTGCGACGGAAGCTCCGTGATCCTTTGCGGAGTGCTGGCGCCCTGGCGGAGTTGCATGATAACGTCGCCCGGACCTGCAGGCTGGCGACCCCGACTTCGGCTTGCAATTTCGCCCCCTCGAAGCCCGATGGTCGAGGCGCGGGCGGCGGCGGGCTTCGTGCTGGACTAGCATTTCGTTCCCCTAATCGAGAAGGGTGCCCCCCAGCTGGCGGGGGCGCCCGGTGCCTGGGCACTCGCTGCGCGCCACCTCTCCCAGGCTCGAAAAGAGATTCGTGAATCAGAGATGCCGGAAAGGTGCGGGTTGAGGAAGTCCTCGTCTGTTTGAACCGCGTGCAAGTCGCACGGCGCACCGCGCGCCAGGCGAGCAGGGGCCAAGTCTATCCCCCGCGCGCAGAGGGTTCCGAGACGTCGATGGCGGGGGCCTGTAGGTGCCCGCGGCTGATCCGTGACCTTCTGATTTGTTTTGGTGGTTGATGGTTGTCGCAGTCGCGCTCGGGTTACTCCTCCTCGCAGAGCTCGCAGCGTCCACGACTGCAGGTTGAGTCCTCGCGGTGGGCCCCGCAGCAGCGCCGTGCAGATTATTATCCTTCTGTTCTTGCATCGTGCGGGCGCGGATGTTCCTCTTCGGGGGGTCTTTCTCCCTTCTCCTCCTCTTTTCCGGCCCCGTCGCCTCTGGGGTCGTGGGGATTTACATCCCCGCGTCTCCCTGGAGTCGGGTCCGACCCCTTCCTCTCTTTCTCTTTCTTGTCGCGAATAAGGTGCCTCTGCGGGAGGGTCGCGGCTCCGCAAACTGGCGCCTCTCACTGCGTAGCATTGGGAAAATGTTCGAGGTGGCCAGAGTCCGGCCCTCGTCGATAAGAGCAGCCCATTTTGGGCGTGGCCGGCGCGCCCCTAATCGTTAAGGGCAGCCCATTTTGGGCGGGGGCAATGCTTCCCTTTATCTTCTTTCCTCCTCCTGTTTCCCTCTCTCGCGTGGTCTCGCGTCGGGGGGGTCGGCGGCGCCGTCGGTGGTCCCGCTCCTCAGGGCAGTTGGGCCTCGAGGAATCCAGTGGTTGAGGTCGCACCGTTTGTCCAGCCCCCCCCCGCGGGTGTGCGTCGTGAGCCGCGCGTCGACGTGCTCGAGCTCTCGCGCGCTCTCGCAATCCTGCTCTCCTTCTCTGTCGCTGCCGCCGGGTGCGCACTTTGAGCTACAATGCGCTGCGCAGTGGGCGTTCCAATTTATATCCATGCTATTCTGACGTTGTGTGCACCGTCAGATTTCCAATTGTTGACGCTTCGCGTATCCCCACCAGCCCATCCAGAAACGATGCTCAGGGGAGTTGAGGTGATCAGGGAAGTCGGGGAGCATGCAGAATAACAAAGGGCGGGGGAAGCTGTCACAGACCCCGAGAGGGGGAGGATGGAAGAGGAGTCGTCGTCGTCGTCGTCGTCGTCGGAGGAGGAGGAGGAGGAGGAGGAGGGGGAAGAGGAGGAGGAGGAGGAGGAGGAGGAGGACGGAGAAGGAGGAAGAATCGGAGGAGGAGGAGGAGGAGGGGAAGGAGCTTCTTGGGGGTCTTTTGAGGGCCTCTTGGAGGGCTTTTTGGGCGCCTTGGGGCATCTTGGGCGCCTCTTGGGACCCTCTTGAGGCGCTCTGGGGAGCCTTCGGGGCGCTTTTGGGGCCATCTTGGAGGGAGTCGATCAAACAAGAGGGGGGGTTTAATTAGCGCCCCCCCTCGGAAGCCCCTAAAATCGCCTCTTGGACCCCTCTTGGAACGCTCTTGGAGTGCTCTTGGGCGCTCTTGGGGCCGTCTTGGGGCTCTTTTGGGGCTCTCTTGGGGCCCTCTTGGGCCATCTTGGAGCCATCTCCAGGCCTCGGATAGCCATCGGAAGCGAAAAGGCGAGAAAGCAAAAATCATTGATTTTCCTTAGGTTTTGGGACGATTTTGGCCTCTTCGGGGCCTCCTTGGGGAGCTGTTTGGCCACTTGGAGTTATCTTGGGGCCGTCTTTGGGCTTCTTGGAACCATCTTAGGAGCCATCGTGAGCGATCTTGCGCTATCTTGAGCCATCTTGGAGCTCATCTTGGGTTCTCTGAGGCGCTCTTGGAGCCGTCTTGGGCCATCTTGGACGCTCTAACTACCCGCGGCCCCCCCCGTCCAGGTCCAGGGGAGGGGGTAGGGGGAGGGGTAAACCCCTCCCCAAGGGGGAAGAGGGAGGGGTGGAAGAGGATCTGTTCTAGACCACCTACGCCCAGAGGGCTGGTGGGATTTTCTTGCCCGGCCAGGTCTTTTTCATTTCCTGTTTGCTCCCGCCGCCAATGCGTCGTAAGGTGTGTGTGTGTGTGTGTGTGTGGAAGATGTCTCAGGCCAGGTCGGTGGGGGCGCCTGCGGTTGTCCTCTTCTCTCACCTCTCTGCGCGTGACCCTCAAGGCGCGCGCGTCTCTGTGGAGTGTCCTGCGGCCAAGTGCCTTGTGCAGGCGCCATTCCACAGGGGGTGGGTTTATGCTGACTGGCTGTCTTGCTCGTTCATCCCTCTCGCATGTGCTTTGGAGAGCGCTCGGAGTGATGGGTCGGGGGGCGCGATGCCCGATCCCCGCCCCCAGGCGTCGTCCCAAGCGTCGTCCTCCTGCTTCTGCTCATCCTTTTGCTCCTCCTTCTGCTGCTGCTCCTCCTGCTCCTCCTGTTCCTCCTCGCCCTTCTTCCTTGTCTCCCGCGCTGGCTGTCGTCCGCCGCCATCGTAAAGGGGCCCTGGGGGGGGGGTCTCCCTGTGCGCCCGCGTGCCGCGTTGGCGCCGCGCCTCCGCCGGCGCCGCTGGCGTCTTTATGTTGCCGTTTTGTTTTTTCCGTGCCGTCTTGCAGTGGGTGTGCGGGCTGCGATGGCGCGGCGCCGCAGCCGGGCGCCCCCGCGATGGCTTCGCCTTCGGCGGGCGCCTTTCGCGCGCGGCGTTCCCGGCTTGCCAGTCGAGCCGGGCCACCGTCGGCCAGCCGTGGTGGTTCCATGGGGCCGGGATGGCCGCGATGGCGCGAGGCTGCCGCTTTGGCCGGGGTTGGGGTACGTCAGGATTCCCATGGGATTGTGATGTCCGCAAGTATTCTCAACAGCTCCTGTGCATGCGGGGCGCCCCAGCGGCGCGGGATCTCGAACCCTGGAGAGAAGAGCCTCGTCTCATCTTTCGGCCCGATCCGCCCAATCATGGATCGGAGTCCTCCCTTTCTTTTTCCTCCTCCTCCTCCTTTTCCTTGTCCTCCACCTCTTCATCCACCTCCTCCCCTTTGTCCTCCCCTTTCGCCTGATCCTCCCTGCGCCGCCTACGGGTCCACTTCCGCCCTTCAATCCTCCTTCTGCTCTTCCACCCTTCTTCGTTTTCTTCTTCTTCTTCTTCCTCCTTCTTTTTCATGATTATCATTTTTCTGTTTGTTGCTTTTTCGTCATATTCTTATCTTCGCATTCGCCCGTTCCTTCTGCTGCTCCTCCATTCTCCTCCTCTTCCCCTCCTCCTCAGCGTCCCCTTCCGCCCTGCCACGCCTTGAGGCTCGCATGCAGGACGCCCTCATCTTTCCCCTCATCCTCCTGCCGGTGCTCGCCCGCTCTCCGCCTTCCTCCCTCTCTCCGCGGAGGAGGCTCTCGTCGCCACTGCCTCTGCGGACGCGGCGGAGGGATCTTCCAGGAGCGGGAAGTCTGTTGGGCGGCCGTCGCGAGGGCGTGCTGACGAGGACGGGTCGGCAGTAGTTTGCTGGCGTTTCAGGCCCAGGATTATCTCCTTTAGTTATCCAGCCTTTGGCCCTTCACATTGGCCGACGTGGACCCGTTATGGGTAAATGTGTGTACGCGAATGCGGGGCAGGGCAGGGGGATGTCGTAGAACAACGGTTTGGGGGAGTAGCCTGCAGGTGGTCAAGAACGAGAGGAACAAGTACATGACACAGATCCAGAAGTCCTCGCAGCACCTCTCGGAGATGAAGGACCCACCCCATTCCTGCTGCCGTCGTGTAAGTTTTTTGTTTTGATAGTTGCGCCGTTGGGTTTCACACGACAGATTTGCCCATGATTGCACCTGCACCTCCACGCTGTGTGCCAGACAGGCGCTCGCCTGCTGCACGCTGGTTCTAGTGCTCCCCCGAGCACACTCGGCTCTGGAGCACTGTTGGCTGTCGCTGGGCGTTGCTGAGGGAAAAACGCTTTCGTCAATGAAGGGCTCCAGGGCCTAGGGTGGCAGGTTGAGCGCTTTGCCCAGCCGTGGCACCACTGCCACCCGTCGAACTCCTCCAGCGTGTCCATGGCTTTCCTCGGCGTGCCTCCCAGCTTGGTCCTACTGTCATGCAGCTCTCCAAGCGCAGCCCTCCTCCAGCCCCCCAGCAGTCACGAGTCACCCTTCCCCGTCCCCAATTTGGTCTCCTCCTCATTCCTTACCTCTTTCCTTTCGAGAATTCGGTGGACCCCCCACCCCCACACTCCTTTAGCACCCACCAGAAAATTGCGCATTGTCCAACACTTTCTGGAGGCAGTGGTCTTATCCAGCGGGTCTCAGCAAGGCCGAGGCGACATCCGCAGCCTTGGCCTTCTTCTTCTCCCTCCCTCGCCCTTCCCCCTTCCCTCTCCCCTCCTCCCTCATCCTCGCTAACCTGTCGAGGGGGCTCCCTGATCTGACCCCGCTCCCTCTCCCCTCTGCTCCTCCTCTCCTCCTCCGCGTGCTTTCCCCGTGCGCCCGAGGAGCAAGTCGGAATATCTTGCATGTGAGGGAACAGTGGGGCGACAGTGGCAGGGCTGCCACCGCTGTGCGCCCACCAGAGCCTTGACCTGTTGCCGGGGAGCCCCTCCCCTTCGCGCCGCAGGTTTGCAGTGGCTGCAGGGCGACCGCGGTGCAAGCCGTCTTGGAGGTTGCTAGCCCGGGCTGGCCCCCATCTGGCAACCCCCGCAACAGGCTGCGAGTTGGGGGCTCCCCAAATAAAGAGTGCCCCCCATTAGTAATTCCACGGGCTCCTGTTCCACCGAGTAATTGTTAACGGCGGCCCGCTCGCAGACCTGGACACCAGGTCAGTGATCCTCCTCCTCGTCGTCGTCGTCGTCCTCCTCCTCCTCCTCTTTCTCGTCCCTCAGAGCTCCTCTTGTCGCGGACAGGTGTCCAACGGGCCGTTCGGGGGACCTTCGGTGGTCCAAGCCGCTGCCCGAGCGGAGTCTGGGGAGGCCTTGTCGGCTTTCCTGTTCCGCGCGCTGTGCAGAACCTCGGCGCACCGGATTGCGATAGGAGGCCTTCTCTCACGCGCTGCCTTGGCCCATTGCGTACGAGGCTTTCAACCCCTCGGCCTTGTTTAGGCCGCGGCCTTTTCCAGGCCGCTCTTTCGGGAAGGCCACCACGGGCCGTCGCCGTTGGGCCGTCGGAGTGCTCTGCCTGCTGTTGTCTGGGGCCCCGTTCTGCGGAGCAGGTGGGTCTCTGATCGTGCGGCGTCTGGGCCCAGGTGGAGGCCAGAGCCCGCGTCGCCAAGTTGCATAGGTTCGAGTTCCCTGAAGCGTCTCCTCCCCCACCCCACCCAAGAGGACATCCCAAGAATACGTTCCACACCCCTCCTGGCTTCTCACCCTCCTCACTCCTTCCCGTCCTCCCCCCCTGGCGCCCCCTTCCCTTCATGGATAGTTCCTCCCTGTCGCACCCTGATGCGTTTCGGCAGGGCGGGTTGGGCGTTTCGTTCGCAGCGTGCCGGATGCTGGTTTGGAAGAATTGGCATTGTTTGGGAGGAGGATGGCCAAGGTTGGGCCCTTCCGATTGCCTGCGTGCGAGGGGCCATCGACCGGTCCGGTTCATCGGAGTCTTTCAGGTTCCATCTTTGTCCTCCTCGTTGTCTTGCTCCCCCTTCTATCCCTTGCACCCCTCCCCCCCTTCCTGGTCCTAGAGCTTTGAAGCCCGTATAACACTCGAGGGATTTTCTGGACTTCCGTAACAACTCCGAAACCGTTTTGGGCCCCTCACGAGACCCTTCTTTTCCCTTCCCCCGATTTCTCGAGACCCCCTCGCAGCCACCAGGTACCAGGTGCTTCGTCCAGGTCCTTCTCAGAGGGACCTCGGGCCAAGAGTGGCCTTCCAGAGACTCTCCTGAACCAAGGAACATCCTGTTTCTTTTGATGTTTTTGGTGGGGGATGTTTTTTTGTTTATTGTGTTTTTGTTATCAAGTATGTATAGATTCTTCGAACGACGCTTGGAGGTTTGGGCCTGGAGGTCTGGGTCCCCAGCCGCTGGCCTCTGAGGCACCAGGCCACATCCACACCCACTTCGGCTGGAGTCCCGCCCTGGCTCCCCGGAGAACGGCGACCATCAATCTTTTCTCGCCCTCAGTGGCGGGCAGTGATACGGTAGATAGAAAGTAGTATCGAACCCGTACACACGGTAGGATTGGTTGACGCTCGTAGCGCACAGGATATGAGACCCGAATTGCGGATCGCCTGTACGATTCTCTGCCGCCTTGCTGCTCCCGCAGTCGACGATGCAAAGGGAGCGGGCGCGCAAGGGGGATCCAACCTAGGACGCCCCATTCTGGCTACCTCGTCGGCGAACACCCTGGCGGTTGGATGCCTCATCTGCTGCATTGTCTGCTGCCCGGTTGGCTGCCTTGTCGGCTGCCTCGTTGGCTGCCTGATCGGCTGCCTCGTCGGCTGCTTTGCTGGTTACCTGGTGGGGCGACTTGATGGTTGTCTGCTTGGTTGCCTTGGTGGCTACCTCGTCGGTTGCCTGGTTGGCTAGGTAACTGCCTTGTCGGCTGCCCCGTTGGCTGCCTCGTCGGTTGTCTGGTCGGCCGCCTTGTTGGCTGCCTCGTCGACTGCCTCGTTGGCTGCCTTGCGGGGTCCCTCGTTGGCTGTCTCGTCTGCTGCCTTGCCGGCTGCCTCGTTGGCTGACCCGTTAGCTGCCTCGTGGACCGCCTCGTCGGCCGCCTCGCTGGCTGGCAGGTGAGGGTCGGGGCCTCTGTGGGTGGACGCGACCAGTGGTTCAACGCGAGGTCGACTCCAAGCGCGCCACGGTACACAGGGCGGGAGTTGGAAGCCTGAGACCCCCCGACCCCCCTCCTCAATGTTGATTGGCACGGCCACTGGGTAGTGACCTGGTCTCGCCCCGCCGCCGCACTGAGCATTTGCAAGGGTTGGACGCCGCAGAGCCCACCGGCAGATGCCCCTTCAACACCCCTCTTCAATGTTGCTGCGGTGCACCGTCCTTTGTGGGGTTGCTCAACGCCAAGATGAAAGAGGGGGGTTTTGGGGGGCACCCTCAATGCAAGGTCACTAGGTGGGCTCTCCCTCTGCATGCTCTGCTGTGTCGGCGAATATTCAAATGGGGGGACAGGGAGGGATCCGAGGGTTGGGGAGGAGTGCCGAGGAGTACGATCGAGTGGGGAGGAGTCTGGAGGAATGAGGATGAGTGCGAAGGAGTGAGATAGAGGGAGGGTGAGGGAGGAGCCCCGAGGAGTGGGGAGGAGTGCCGACAAGTGCTATGGAGTATGGAGGAGTCTGGAGGAATGGAGAGGAGCGTCGAGGGCGGCGACAGAGTACAGTGGAGAGGAATCTGGATGCGTTCGGAGGAGTGCGAGGGAGTGCGATGGAGTGGGGAGGAATGGGGAGTGGGAAGGAATCCCGAGGCGTAGGGAGGAGTCTAGATGAGTGCCGAGGAATGAGATGGAGGGAGGAGTCCGGAAGAGAGGGGAGGAGTACGAGGAGTGTGATGGATTCGGGAGGAGCACTGAGGATAGCGATGGAGTGGGAGGAGTCCGGAGGAATAGGGAGGAGTGCCGAGGTCTGGAGAGTAACGGATTGGAGTTTGAGGAGTGCGATGGAGTAGGGGAGAGTCCCAAGGAGTGGGGAGGAGTACCGAAGAGTGAGGCGTAGGGGGGAGTCTGTAGGAGTGGGGAGGAGTGCCGAGGAGTGCGATGGAATGAGGAGAAGTCTGGAGGAGGCGTGGGAAGGAGTGCCGAGGAGTGAGACGGATGAAGGAGTCTGGAGTGGGGAGGAGTGCCGAGGAGTGCGATGTAGTGGGGAGGAATTGGGAGGAGTGCCGAGGACTGCGATGGCGTGGGGGAGGTAGCCCAGAGGAGTGGGGAGGAGTCCCGAGGAGTGGAGAGGAATGGGGAAGAGTGCTGAGGAGTACTTTGGGATGAGCGCCGAAGAGTGAGACGGAGGGAGGAGTCTGGAGGAATTGGGAGAAGTGCCGAGGAGTGCAACAGAGTGCGGAGGAACGGAGTGGAGTGCTGAGGAGTGCGATGGAGTAGGGAGGACAAGGCAATTTGGCGGATGGGCGGGAGAATTAGGAACACTTACTCGCAAGCCCTGCGCACCGCAGCGGCCAGGCCCAAAGTATCCGAAGTTGTCCCTGAGACCCCTGCCCCGCCAGCACCGCACGCCGCGGCCGCCAGGGCCGGAGTGTCCCGAGTGACGTTGCCTCACGTCCTTCTCTCACAGTCTAACAGCCCTGGCCTGTCGGGAACATCGTCGATTGTCGTCGTCGTCGCCGCCATCACCGTCGTCTTCGTCGTTGTCACCGTCGCCGTCGCCGTCGCCGTCGCCGCCGCCGTCGCCGTCGCCGTCGCCGTCGGCGTCGCCGCCGCCGCCGCCGTCGTCGTCGTCAGTCGTCGTCGTCCTCGTCGTCGTCGTCGACATCGTCGTCGTCGTCGTCGTCGTCATCGTCGCCGCCGCCGCCGCCGCCGCCGCCATCGTCCTTGTCGTCGTCGTTGTCGTCGTCGTCGTCATCGTCGTCGTCATCGTCGTCATCGTCAGTCGTCGTTGGTTAGTCGTCGTCTTCGACTTCGCCGCCGCCGCCGCAGCCGTCGTCGTCGTCGTCGTCGTCGTCGTCGTCGTCGTCGTCGTCGTCGTCGTCGTCGTCTTCGGCGTCGTCGTCTTCGTCGTCGCTGCCGTCGTCGTCGTCGTCGTTGTCGTCGTCGGTCGTCGTCGTCGTCCTGCCTATCGCCCCGAGCACCCCACCAGCTTCTAAGCATTGCTGGGCCTGTCCATGCCCTAGGAAACGCAAGCCTCCAGGAGAACACGTGGCCGGAACGTGCGCCCGTCTGCTATCGCCCGTCTGCTGTTTGGTAGGGCGTGCGCGCAACCGCGCGCGCCCGGACGCACAGGCAATCGTGACGATTGGCAACGATGGTAATGGTGACGATGACGATCGATTGGTAACGTGTTTTTTTTTCAGTTTCCATGTACGGTGCTCCCATCCACTACCTTGGCATCGCTCGGACGTGTGCATTTTTCCCTTCGGCGAGGACCATCGAGGAGCATCCTGGATCATTTGGCGACAAAAACCACGCACGAAACCGAACAAAAACACAGGGAATGGACGTCCGAGCGATGGCCAGCTACTCCTCGAGATGTCCTCGAGATCCCGTGCCACGACTCGGAGGCGACGGATGCGGATAAGTCTGACGGCAGTCCCCTTTTCCCTCCTCGGTCTGCTGCTGCCGCGAGGAGAAGCTGAAGATCCTGCAGAACGAGGTGTCCAGCAAAGGGGGAAGACGGGAGGATAGGGAGGAGTTTTTTGTTTTTTGGGGGCCCCCTTCTTCCCTTCAACCTTTGAGGTGGTCCTTCTTTTGGATGGGGCGAGGGGAGGAGGAGGGACAAGGGAAGAGGAGGATGAGGATGAGGATGAGGATGAGGATGATTATGATGCTGATGCTGCTGCTGATGATGCCGATGATGATGATGATGATGATGATGATGATGATGATGATGATGATGATGATGATGATGATGATGATGATGATGATGATGATGATGATGATGATGATGATGATGATGATGATGATGATGATGATGATGATGATGATGATGATGATGATGATGCTGATGCTGATGCTGATGCTGATGATGATGATGATGCTGATGCTGATGATGATGACTGATGGATGAGAGGAGGAGAGGAGGAGGAGAAGGGAGGAGGAGGATGGTGATGATGATGATGACGACGACGATGATGATGATGATGCTGATGATGATGATGATGATGATGATGATGATGATGATGATGATGATGATTTGAGGTCGCTTTTTCACTGCAGACATCCGTCAAACTCCATCAGTGAAATGTCTGGCTCGCGTGAGACGCGTCCGTGCCCGCACAAGCTGCCGAGCCGAGGAAGCTACAGAGATGATGGCCCTCCAGGGAGTTGCAACAGAGACGAGGGCAGCATGCTTCTGGAAGATGAGTGACTCTCCTTGCTAGTCACGAGCGCCCGAATGCCCAGCTGCTTGCTACCTGCCATTGATGGCCTGTAACATGCGGCTCCCTATCCATTGATCTCCACCACTGCTGAAGAAACAATCGGCACTACTCATTGCTGCCATGCCCGCGGCTCCTATCGGCACTGACCCTCCAGTGAAATAAGACACCAACATGGACCCCACACTCTTGAAAGCGAAGTCGCGCACTGTCACGTAGAGCTCCCACTTTGCGCAGTGCCCATAGCGATACCCGAGATAACAAAACAACAACGCCAATGGACACAAGCACGTAGAAATCCAGCGGCCCGGCAGCGGGCCTCTAGAGGCACAACACCGGCAAAATTCAGGTAGCCACGTTTTTTGTGGCGCCCAATTCTCGACTCGACGTAAGAGTGACCCTTCGCCGGAGTGACCTTTGGTGCGGGCGCAGTGGGGTCCTCCGATCGCCGGACGCGACGCGACAGTTGCGTCCTGCGCGCCCGTGGTTGGTCTCACTCTCACCCAGGGTCACTCTTGCGTGCAGCCGACGAGCAAAACCGGAACAAAAATTCCGGCAATCGCGATTTTTCGTGACGCCCTGTATCTGGGTCTTCTTGGACCGGCTCTCGGATTTGCCCTGGGGTGCGCTCTGGCCAGAGTTCAAGGGCGAACAGAGTCGAACCGAGGCCACACGAGGGCGCCCCGAGCCCAAGGATTCCAGAAGCCATGCGCAAACCCACATCGTCCACATCTCTGGCAGGGGTCTCTGGCCGTCCTCGGTCGGGGCTTCCAGAAGTCTCGAGGTCCCTGGAGGTCTCCACGGGAGCTTGCATTGCGACATCGCGAAAAATCACGACCAGAGTCCCAGACCGCACCTGCCCGAAACCGGGGAGAAACCGCCAATTGTGAAGACATGCGACGCCAGGATCTCAGGGTTGTGCTCGTTTCCGGCAGGCCGCGAGCTCGAGGTCTCGGCCCTGCTGCGGCGCGGGGCGCGCGCCGACGACCGCGAGCACGTTGGGCGGAAGTCAAGGGGAACGTGGGGGGGGGGGATAGGCTCGGGGTGGGATGCATCGACCCCCAATCGCCCATTCATCGCCGACAGGGATCCGATAGCCCCCACCCCGCCCAGGACGACTGTGCGGGTTTGCCGTCGGAGGCCTATCGACGATCTGTCGTCGACCTCTCGTCGTTGTCTGGGGCGCGCGCGCGCAGCCGTTTCGGCCCGCTTCGGACCCGCGGGAGGAGAGCGCGTGCGTCAGGCCTTGGTTCGGCGGGCGGTCCCTACGGCCAGATGCCCGCGGTGGGCAGGACCCTGGTCGTCGCCGCTGGCGGCGCCGCCTCCGCCGCCGCCACCGCCGCCGCCCCCACCTTCTCCTCCGCCTCCGCCTCCGCCTCCGCCTCCGCCTTCGCCTCCGCCTCCGCCTCCTCCGCCGCCGCCACCGCCTCCGCCGCCGCCGCCGCCGCCGCCGCCGCCGCCGCCGCCGTCGTCGTCGTCGTCGTCGTCGTCGTCGTCGTCGTCGTCGTCGTCGTCGTCGTCGTCGTCGTCGTCGAGCCCTCTTGGGACTCTTTTGGGGGATCTTAGGCTCCTCATGGGGCTCTTTTGTGAAGTCTTAGGGCCCTCTTGGAGCCCTCTTGGAGCACTTTTGGGGGTCTCTTGGGGCTCTTGGGGCCATCGATCAAAAGGGAGTGGTCTTCGATTTCTGCCATCCCCCCTGGGGCCGTCAAAATCGCCTCTTGGGCCGCCCTGGGGACCCTCTTGGGGCGCTCTTGGGCGCTCTTGGGCCGTCTGGGGGGCCTCTTTGGCCCCTCTTGGGCCTGTCTTGGGCCATCTTGGGGCCATCTTGACTTGGGGGTCCTGAGGGGGCTCCGAGAGCACTTGAAACCGTCTTGTGGCCCTCGTCGGGCCTTTCGTCGGAAGCTATCTTGAACCATCGCGCCGGCTTTTTGATCCGTCTTGGAGGCAATTTTGAAGCATCCGAGGCCTTATTGGAGCGGCCTTGGGCCATTTTGGGCGCTCTGACCGATCGCGCCCCCCAACCAAAACCTCCTGGGAAGGACGAGGTTTTCTGAAGAGGAAAGAAAGGAGCTCGTTAGACCACCTTAGCCCAAAGGGCCGGTGGGATTCGACAGTGTTAAAAAAGACCACGAGGGTAGAAAGAAAACCCGAGGGCAGTACAAAACAAGCCGTGTAAAAACAAGGGCGTACAACACGTATTCGTTTTTTTTGTAGACCTGGTTTTCAATGTGTTTTCTAGGGTTTTTGTTGTACCCTTGCACGGCGCCGCAGGACTTGTCGGGGCTTGTCGCCCCGAAGGCCCGACGGTCCCCGCCTCCGTCAGGGGAGCGCTTTTGGCCCCGACACCTTCCCCCAGCGGAGGGCCCTCCTCCTCCTCCTCCCTCCTCCTCCTCCTCCTCCTCCTCCTCCTCCTCCTCCTCCTCCTCCTCCTCCTCCTCCTCCTCCTCTTCCTCCTCCTCCTCCTCCTCCTCCTCCTCCTCCTCCTCCGCGCGGATTTCTCGAGGCCGCGCCGCGGCGACCGCGCGCGCAGGACCCCCCAGAGCGGCGCAGGTCGCCGACCCACCCGCACGGGCCTCGCGGCGGCGGCGGCGGCGGGCGCCGGCAGCGCCGCCGCCGCGCGCGCCGCGCTGCCAGGCGCTCCCGCGGGGTGCCGTCGCCCCGCCAGCAGCTCACGGGCCTGTTTTCCACCACCACCATGAGTTGGAGGGGGGAAGGGGGTTGAGGAGGAGGAGGAGGACGAAGAGGAGGAGGAGGAGGAAGACGAAGAGGAGGAGGAGGAGGAGGAGGAGGAGGAGGAGGAGGAGGAGGAGGAGGAGGAGGAGGAGGACCCCCTTCCCCTCCTACTTCAGGTGGTGGTGGTGGTGGTGGAAAACAAGCCCACCAAGCAGCAGGACAGAACAGTCAGCGCAGGCACAATCCTAGAGATCTGACGCTCCGGAAAAAAGAGGGCGGGCGGTTTTTGGGCCGTTTGCGGCCTCCAGGGGGCCCTTGCCGGGGGCCTCGGCAGCGTCAACAAACGACTCAGCACGAACAACAGCCGGCCCTGGGGAAGTGGTCCGGACCTCCGGGGCCCAGGCATCGAACAAAAATTGGAGCCGCCAGATGTCTGGGATATTGAGCGCTCCTTTCCACGACAGTCCGCCGACCCCTTCGGCGTGTGCGGGACGCAGTTCCGTTTGCTCTGTTATCGTCGTCGTCGTCGTCGTCATCGTCGTCGTCGTTGTCGTCGGCGCTGTCCTCCCCTTTCCTTAATTAAGCCCGTCTCGGAGTTTTCTGCGCCCGTCGCAGCTTTCTCTTTCCCTTCCCTGAGCTTTCGTCCTCGAGCTCGCCAGCAAAAACGAAAGTCACGTCGTTCTTGAGTCGTAGGGAAGCCCTTCCCTAGATCCCTTCCCTGCCGGGGGGGGAGTCCCTGGGGAGGGTTCCCGGGGCGGTCGTCGGAGGGGTTCCCTATCCTTCCCAGGGTGCACCGGGACCCCAAAAAAGGCCCAAAGACGGGCCAAGAGTGCTCCAAGAGGAGAGGAAGCCCCAAGAGGCCCTCAAGAGGTTCCCGAGAAGCCCCCAAGTTGTTCCCAAGAGGCTCCCAAACTGCCCCTCAGATGCCCCCGAGAGCGCTCCGAAGAGTCCAAATGCATCCCTGAGGACTCTGACCCGCGTCAGCTTCTTCGTCGTCGTCGTCGTCGCCGCCGCCGCCGCCGTCGCCTTCAGGGTCGGCGGCACCGGCCGTAAGGCCTTCGCAAGATGGGACAATATGCGAAATGTAGGGGAAGAGGAACATCCAGGAACAAGGGCAACATGCTGCAGATCCTGTAAGTAGTGACGATTTATGTATGTCACCCTGGGCCCCTTGCAATAGGTAGCGGGGTCCAGCGCAAACGGGGCTCAGCGAGAGTGCCAGATCCTGCAGGATTTGGCCAAGCCGGATTTCGGCGAAGGTGTCCTTCTATGTTGATTGAGCTGGCTTTGGGAAGCCCCCCGAAAATCTGCAGCGCAGTTGTTCTACATCGGCTGAGCTGGGCTTGCGCTGGGCCAGGTTCGTCCACGCCGCGCTTGATTCGCAGCCAGACCGCCAACCCCCTCACCTCTTCGCGTTGCGAAAAGAATCACGACGGACGATTTCTGGCCGTTTTCGGCCCCTGGGGACCCTTAGACGGCCCCAGGGCCGTTAGAAGTCGGCCCAAAATGAACAGACGGCGTCCGCCTCCGTGCTCAGTTGCGGAGTCGCTGGTGGGGTGTCACTGTGTCTGAATGGGGTCTGCGGTGAGTGCCCGTCCGAGCTGC